AAGTTTTTCTTCTCAAAATAGATTTAATTCCCCTTCTGCATGATGTATATTACACTCGTCCAAATTCTCATAAGCATGACAGTTCTATATGAATTTAATACAGCCGGAAAATGTTTTGAATTATTCACGAACCTTCTTTTTCAACTAAATATACAATGCGATGAGAGGATGAACTAGATTAGCTTACTTTTTAAACTTGTCAGAAACAATATTATGTTTAGACTTGAACCGTAAAACGACAAATTTTAACTCATTATGAACTGTGCAAATATTTTACACGACAATATTATGGTTCATCATTGTACCAATTTTTTTGAGTTTTATTTACGTTTAATCATTTTTGTTTTAATTTTGTTCAACAAACAAAAGGTTATTTGGTTTCCCTGTTTGTATGTAAGAATTTACCATAGAATTTACCACTTTCAGAAAATTGGTTCATAATATCCATACTTTTAAGTGTAATATCATGTAAATTTGTTGTAACCCTAATGGGATTTCAAAGTTAACCAGTTTCCGTTTCAATTTGAAAAAAAGTAAAGCATTATCAAATTTAAGAAGTGCAAAAATATATTTCAACGTAGTTCCAAATTAAAATTTCAGTAATTTTTTATGACATTAAAGTTCAATCTGTTTTGAAATTTCAGCAGTAGGTTAACGTGCCTGTCGGAAAAGAAATAAAACTGTTATTTTTCTGTGCTTTTTATTTACACGTAAGAACTTACCTTAGAATTTAACACTCTCAGAAATTGGTTTATAATATCCAAACATTTAAAGATAATATCATGCAAATTTGCATGCAACCCTAATGAGGTCTCAAATTAAACCAAGTGCCGGGTCAATTTGAAAAAAAAAAATAAATAAAATCAGGTTATCAAATTTAAGAAGTGCGAGAATATGATGAATCTTAATACTAGATTAACATTTTAGTAAATTTAAATGGTTCATGGTTCGATTAGCTTGAAATTTTCTTTCAGTACGTTAATGTGTTTACAGAAAAAAATGTGTATCAAATAAAATGCTATTTTACTTGGATGTTTACTTTCAAGAATTTACAATAGCTCCTACTCTCGGAAAGTTGGTTCATAATATCGGTATTTTTAAATTTAATACTATGCAAATTTGTTGCAACCTTAGTGAAGTTTCAAAGTAAACCTTTCTTTGGTACAATTTGAAAAAAATAGTATCGCGTTATCAAATTTAAGGAGTACAAGAATATGGTTCGACTTAGTAACACATTAAAATTTCAATAAATTTAAGTGGTTCAAAACGCTTTAACAGTTTCCTGATAGCTTTCAAGTGCTGCATACATTTTATACTTTTCTTACTGTTTATTTGCTACTCGAAACAAAGAAGAAAAATCGAAAGTCCTCCCGAAAAAAGCAGCTAAGCAATTATAAATCTTGCATCGATTTTTCTTGAAAATCTCAAAACTTTCCTATATAATGGTACACAAATTACCCAAATGTAGTTTCCATTTTTCAGTACAAAAGACATCTTAGATAAATAGGTTCAATTTAAAGAATGGAAGAATTGTCTAAAAGAGATATAAATCTCAGTCGGGAAACCAACTTTTATTTCAAAGCGACTTTCTTCAAGATCAATCATATCCATTTACATACTGAAGCTTTTTCATTGCATATCTACTTCTATCTTGATGTTCTGATGCCAGCGCAATGCATTTTGCATGCTTTTTTTCATTGCTATAAAATAGTTTTTCCATCGAATATTTTTTGTTGTTTTGTTGGTTGCACATTACAATATCTTATGCTTTGGTTCTGCAATCTGAATTGCATGGAATACGAGTTACATCAAATGCTTTGGATTGCTTCCAAGTATTGATCAAAGGCCAGTTCAGCTAAGTTTTTTTTTGTTGCTTTTTTGTCATGACTCTCATTAAAGTAGAGATACTGGAATTTGTTGTTTTCATTGAATTTATTTTTTTGTTTCAAAGTTCTGGAAGTTTTATTACATTTATGTTTAAAACTAAGTAGTAAGAAATTAATGTCTGCGCTATTAGCTTAAACTAATGTCTATTCTTTAAATCATTTTTAATGACTTAGTTTCAATTTTTCATCGCATACTAACATTAAATGTAAGGAAATCAATTTAAAGATACTATAAATCATTCATGAAAATATTTCCTTTATTGTTAAAAAGTTAAGCAGCAAAATTAATGAAAAAAAAAATGCAAAATACAAAAAAACAAAAGAAAAAAAAACAAATATCTGTTTCTAAGGAAAAAAGAATTCTTACAATTCTTTTTACGTAAACTAAGAGCTAAATATAAAGAAATTAATTTTTAATAATTTAATGAACCTTTCGATCTTCTTCAGGAATTGCTAAAAACTATTTAATGATCAGATTTGAAATCAGAATAATTCGTAATTTCGAGTTTAACGTAATGAACGAAAGACCTGATATGCACCTCAATTAAGAATAAAAAACACACCCAAACAAAGTTTTTGTCGAAGAAATTCATACTTAAAAGACATAAAATGTTTTTTATTGAAACTTTAATATTTTTTCCTCGTCCAATTTTGTGCCATAAGCTATTCTTAACAGAAGATCTTATTTCGCAAAATATAGAAATTCCTTGCGTAATAAGTAAGATACAGAATACTTTTCATATAGAATCGTATCTAAGTAGAATCATTTATGGAACCATATTGCTACGGTTTTTATGTAAGCGTATCAAAGCTTAACTGCTAAATGAGACTTAATTAGAAACAGTATTTCTCGTTATAAGAAGAGCTGTAATTAAGTACAAATGTTTATGAACTCTACATAAAACTGCTGTATATAGCGGTCATTATAGACTCATTATTTTATAAAGCCGTTTCCAAGTAGTACCGTCATATATACCGTTTTCTGTAGCATCGTTTGTTAAATCATAATTATACAGAGCCTTATTATTGATAGCTGTAAATAATTAGGTTCTATATAATTATGATTAGGTTCTATACGTAAGAGAGTCAAAGTATCATCATAATAAATAACTGAAATCTAAAACAAATAATTTTTGGTAAAAAACTAGAATTTAGTAAAAAAATAACATGTGTGACAAAAACACTACGTAATTTTAAACATACGTATGTATGTTTAAAATTGCGTTATTAAAAAAACTTTACAATTATACTGAACTCAAGAACTACATATAACAAAAGGGGTGAATAAATACTTAAATCTGTATATTAAAAATGTAAAAAAAAATATAATAAACAAACAATAGAAAAATGCCTACAAAAATAAACAAAATGGAAGTGAACACGAGGAAGTTTTCTCAGCTTCAAACTAGTTAACTTAACTAGCTAACTTAAAGAAAACAGAGGCGTTCTTAGAATCAGGCAGTGCTAGATTTACTCAATTAATCAGCAGACTTCGCGAAATATACAATTTAAAAAAAAGCAGCTCTGTTAATAGAAAGGCAAACAAATTTCCTTAAAGTTTGTGTTATAAATTGTTTCAGTAGCTTAGTGATCTTCAATTTAAAGATTTTATTTAAGGTTTCAGATTTTACTAAATGTATCTAAAATCCATTTTTAATTTTTTTCAGGAAGATTTTTTCTTAAATTTGAAAGCCATCTACTAGCCACGAAGATCAAAATGTATACAGTAGCATTAAATGCATTCACAGCAGAAAAATTGCCCTAAACTTTTTTCTTCCCTGTTCAAAAGAGTAACCTGCATTAGAAATAAATTAAATCAGCTACTATTTTCAGACTTGCTGTATAACTGAAACTGCTCAAAAGAGTAACCTGCATCAGAAATAAATTGCATTACCTGCTATTTTCAGATTTTCTGTATAACCAAAACTGTTCAAAATACTTATTTATATACATATATTAATAGTNATATATATATATATCACGTAAGAATCATTCACCGAATGTAAAAATACTATTGAATAATTAATTTGATTACCTCATACGAAATTGGTTACGTAATATCCTTAACCATTTTATAATATCTAAAATTTGCCCTTTTTTAAATTTTTGAAAACAACCTTGTATCCAAGTTGCCAAAGTTTTGTGTTAATATTTATTCTAGAAAAGGAAATTTTATAATTAAGTTAGACGTTATAAGTGAGACTTGTCGAATTTTTCAATTTACTGGAAGAGTTTAATTCAAAGCATTTAAGAAATCCCGTTAGTTTCGGATGGTAATTTCATTTTCTTGCTTTCAAAGATTAATGAAATAATTTTTATAATTAGATTTTGTAATGCATTCTGAAAGAGTTAATTTCTTTAGAAATTTAATTAGCTCATAACGTTATTCTTTAATGAATATTAGGAGCAGTAATCATCATCTGAAAAATAAATCTTCTTTAATGACTTTTCTTTATTTTTGCGTTCAGTTAAAGACTTTTTTGATTAAAATTGTCTGTCAGAAACTATTTATTTTAATGTAAATGCGAAAACCTATTCATTACATTTTAAAATATCTGGACTGAAAATAAATCTCATTAAATTCTGCTTTTGCAACGTAAAACATCTAGCATAAACGGTGATATTTTAGAGAAAACTATGTTTTTATGTATGTAAACCCATCGACTTAATTTCGATTTAACTGAACACACACGGATCTCTCTCTCTCTCTCTGTATATACATATAATTTTTAGGTGATACAATTTTATTCCTTACTTATCTAGAAATCAGCATTTAAAAACTTATCAGAATGAACCATTGGTTTCTAATTAGTTATTTGGCTGCAGGAATTTATTTTTGAAATGAAAAAAATCCATGATGCTGTTGTCATTCAAAAAATTATCATAACTTTTAATTTACCAGATGTTTATATTTGTAAAACATTAATGTTTGCCTTAAAGTTTTTTCACAATTTAGGTCTTTTTAGTGCATTTAGAGAAGAGTAATTGCCTAAAAGAGATAATATTTTAGATACTAAAACTGATAAAACTTCTGATATGCTAAATATTAAATCTCTTGAAGAAATACAGATTTATAATAAAAATTATAAATATACACTTTTTATATATATTTTAATTTTATATTTTAGGTTATTGTTTTGCTCTGGGTATTAATTGGACTACTTAAGAGGCACTGATATTGGATGCGAATGGATCTTGATCATGAGCGGATTTCATTGGTATGGAACAGTTCTGAAATATTTATTGTACACTTTGTAAATATAAATTTGTTAAATTTTCAGAAAAAAATTTGTTAGCTTGTCTGGCCGTATGAAACACCCTTTATTTCGCAGAAAAGTACTGTTATTTAAAATAAGAAGCCTGTTTTTTTAAGTGGAAAATAGTTCTATTTTTTAACAAACAAACTGTTATTTTAACAAAAAATTCTATAAAATAACTATGCATTGTGGTCAGTGCGAGCCGAGAGCATCATTTTTACGATCATTTGACGCTGGGATTCAAACCTGGGTCACCTCATTTGGAGGCGAGCGCTTTACCACCTGAACCGCAGCTAATTGTGAGGAAAAATCTGAAACTTTTTTTTAATTTGAATGTCTTACATATTGAAATAATATTTAAATGCAAAAACTTTTTAAACTACAGTGGTCTATCGGCATAAAAGTATTTGGCAACTTAACTTATCAAAAAATAATATGAACCGAAATATGTTAATCAGGTAGAGTATCAAATAGACAATAAAGTCGAATCTCAGTTTAACTTATACAATGTTCAAAACCATGAAATAATTGCTGAAAAATAAGAGCAGGTAAAGAAGATAACTAAAATGATTTTTAAAAAAGGTCAAGTAAAACTGCATGCCGAAAACAAGAATTTAAGCTGACGGTTTTAATTCGTTTATGATTAGGATAAGAAACGGTGAAAAACCATTTCGTCAACAAATCCTCTTTAAAGTTTTATACATATGTATCGTGAAAATCTGCTAAAAAAAAACCAAGAATTTTTAACAGTAAGCGGATAATGTTCAAAAACAGAAAAAAAATCAGCATTTTCCTTTAAACAGTTTTTTTTTTAAAGTGAAAAGCTGTTTTACTTCTGTAGAAATTACAGTTATTTTTGACAGTGTATATATAGTTATAAGAAATACTAAAAACTGCTTTGGAATTAATTTTTTATTCTTTAATTATGTTTTTTTCTAATGTTTAAATATAGAAAGATCTATTAAGATAATTCTTTCATAAGAATTACCTTAATGATTTATCTCAAGCAATATACAATGCATTAAATGTGTGTTTCTCCAAAAATGCATTATTTATAGAATGATTTTTTCAGGAAATGCTCTTTGCCTAATATAATTAAAGGCAATATTGAAAGATTTATTCAAATTTGACATTTTATTTAACATATTTCACAAAGTTTTTTTGTTGACATTTTTGTATTTTTTCTAGAAGTGGACAAAAAAATTAATTACAGTAATCAACTATTTCGTAATCAAATCTTAATTAAGTAATTATGATTAATTTTATAAAAATTACAAAAATAAATGAGATAAGATAAAATAAAAATTAATTTTCATTGTAGGTAATATATTTTACTTTTTTGTATAAGAAAAAACCAGATTACACAAAGTGTAATCACAATAATCAATTGCATTGCAATCAAAATTGCAAATGCAATTAACTGTAATCGTAGGTCATTATCACTTGCAATCATAGTTTAATATTTTTTATAATTATGATTACAGTTAAATCGTAAATTTCTACTACCAATTATCATGAATAAAATTGTAATCATTAATTTGTTACCTGTAATAGTAATAACAAGCATTTGGGTATATATAACCAATACATTTTCTCCTATTCTAGGGAAAACAGTTTCATACATATTGAAATGGAAATTTGTAAGTTTATGCTACGAATATTCACGAAAACATAAAGAATTCCATTTATTCTGCTTAAAAAGATTTATGATCAGAGGCTGTTATATGTTTAAAATACATAACAAAATTAGAAACATATTAACGAAGATTTACTTCTCCATTTATGTTTACAGTTAAATATTTAATGGGTATTTTGGGGATGTTGATTCCGTAATCATTATGGCGCAAATTCTATGTTACGTTCAAATTTGAATAGTAAACTTCATTTGGCATTTTAAATAAAGATTAGTTTCTAGTTCTGTTTTATCTACATGTCGATAACTAAGTGATTTACAGCAATTTATGTCTAGAGTTAACATAAAGAGAGACTTTTGCTTAGTAATGATTTATAAACATAAATATAAATTAATAACCTAATGACAGAAATTTTTTTAATTATTATTTTACGTACTTAAATAAAATTTCGATTAAATCATGATTTTGTTAAGTTTAATTTCGTTAAAATAGGAAATTTAAGATTTTCAGGAGGTAAAAAAAATATTGACAGCCATATTATTACAAACTACGTTTCGATAAATATGTGACTTTCAGTAATTAATGTCTAGAGTTAACATGAAGAGAGACTTTTGCTTAGTAATAAGTTATAAATATAAATATAAATTAGTAACCTAACAACAAAATATATTTCAATTAATATATTACGTACTTCAATAAAATCTTGATTAAATCATGATTTTTTTAAGTTCAATTGTGTTAAATTATGAAATTAAAGATTTTCATAAGGTAAAAAAGAAGTATTTACAGTCATAGTTGAATCGTATTATTGTTTAGACTAAAAACTAGAACTAGAAACCTCAATAAGGTTTTGAATGATTTCTATGTTCATATTAAAATTGTGCATAAGTTGCTTCCAAGAACTGTTAGTGAGTTTTTGAATATTTTTTTCGGCTTAAAAATTAAGCATGCGGCATAGAAAATTGAAAATTATAAAATTGGATAATACAGCCTGTTGCTTTTTTGAAAAAAATGCAAAATTGTGCATGATACTGTACAATAATCCTTTTGGTCCAATTATACTGTGTATTGAAATACTTAAACTTGCGTAATTATTAATTTAGAAGTCGAAAGTGGCATTTAAATTAGTTCGGTATTAGGTTATTAATAATAATTTAAAGATTTGCTGAGCTTGTCAAATTATTCGGCAAATTTTTAAATTATGATTAAAAATCTTATACCGAACTAATACTAATCTAACATTTTAACATAACAAAAATGTAAAATTAAGCAATACTATTATAAAATTTAAAATAAAACATATTTAAAAATAAAATCATGTTATGTTTTCATGACAATGTTTTATGCTATCAAAAGAGGCATAAAATTGTCTAGAAAAGCTCTTTCTTTAGTTTTTTTCCAGTTTATCGATGTTTTCTATTTTATGCCTTACGTGAACAGCAACAAACACATGTTTTTTTAGAAGTTTTCGTCCAGGGAAAGAAACAGGAAAAAAACCTCTTTTTATATCCGAAACGCTGTCCAAGGCAAGTGCTCGTTACCATTTCAATAGTTTCTTCTTTCAACTTACCCGTGAAGCCCCCGGTGGACCCATAGCATATATGGGTAGGGGTCTAGCTGATAGTTTCGAATCGAATTTCGCGAAACAATAAAACCGGTAATTGAAAAACAAACCTAAAAACTTTACTATGACGAGAAGAAATAACAAAAGTATTCTATAAATATGGGATTTTTAAAAGAAGAAAGCAATAGGGTATCTGAAATCTATAGTAATATAAAACTCTCGAGAAAAAATAAAATAAAAAAAAGACCTTAGGAGTCGAAGGAAACCGTGTAAGTACTTCATTGATGTAACGAGCAGCTGCTTGTCTTTTCGAGTACCTCGTTAAAGAGTTTTCGGTTAAGGCTTATGTTTTTTTCGTCTCTCAACCTCAGATTTTATTAGTAATACTCAGTTTTATTGTATCCAAGAGGAATTGAATTAGAAAGATATGTTTTGAGCTTAAGCAAGAGAAATAAATTAGCTATTGAGTAATATTATTATTATTGTTTAAAAATGTTGCTAATGGGAGACTCTTTTAGTTTGACAGGAGAACTTATATTGTGTAAAAGTTACTTAATGAGATTATTATGAGCTTATTAACCTATTTTGTGAAATAAAGGGAGGATTATGACTTTAGAATGCGACTAGTGGTAACTATAGTATGGGATTTATTGAATATTTAAATTAATATTTTTCATAAATATGACATTTTTTCCTTCCTTTTTATCCAGTTTACTAAGTATTATCCTTATATTTAAAGATTATTAATTGAATTTTTTTTATTGTTTTCCATTATTATGACATCCGTTTATATTTAAAATCAAATTTTTATTTATAATGAATATTTGTACAGAAAGTGAATCTGTAAAAGAAAGGAAAGGTTTAGTTGCCTGTTTTTGTTTCTCCCTTGCTAAATTTCCAGAACTGTTTGAGCTAGAGTACAAGGAAGAACTGGAGCAAGTGGAAATGTCTGCTATAGATCCGTAAAAATTTCAGTTAGTCAATCGGATTGGCAGTAAAAGTTGAAAAATTGACGAATTATCATCAGTCTTACTTCAGGTACTGCTTGGAACTAAACTACAAAAGAACTTACTTTTTTCAAACTATATACTTAAAATACAATATCAGTGTCGTTGCTAACTTGCAGCTGTGTTTGCTCAAAACCGAGTTTAGTGAAAGTTTATTGCATGTTAATTTATAATTATTTGCCTTAATTATTTTTATCAGGTAAGCCTGGGGTGACATCACCGTATCAGTCGTTTGAAAACTACCTGAAACCACGTATTTATATTTTGTTGTTATGACTTCGAAACTCGTTTCGATAAACATAAATAATTTAGTATCAACGATAATTTAAATAAAACTTAAGTTTTAATATACAAGAGAGCGGTAGTACCATTTCCGATGCCAAATAATTTGAGTATAGTATTCATTTTGAAAATTGATCGTCTTAAAACGTGTTTTGTTTCTTCTATTAAAGGGAAGTTATCGAGACGAGTAAAGTTTAGCATTTTAATTGTAGTGGCACTAATTGATTAATGTTTATTTATTGGTTATTTACTTTTTGTTTTACCCTGTAAGAAGAAGGGGTATCCAGCTAGTAAGTGATTAAATATGTAAATAAGCTGATTTACTTTCGAATGGATGCAAAGTGAGAAGAAAAGGAGCAAAATAATGAATAAGTGAATCAGCGAATGGGTAGGCAAATAAAAGCGGATAAATTTGTTATTAAGGCTAATATTTTTGCAAATTAACTTGAAAGCATCTCCCCCTGTTCTCTTCAC